GAGTAGCAATCATATGCTTTCAGCTTGATTCAGCAGCTCAGTATTCACATACATTTTCAGCAGTAAATCTAGTTTACCTTAGTGTCCTATGGTGGTGTATGTGATTTCCCCCTTTTCATTTCCTTATCTGCATAACAATCCATTCTTGTTTTTTACACATACATACATTTGGTCTCCATATTTGGTCTCTGCTGTAATGCACGAAGCACTTAGAACCCTGAACAACTGTAATTGATTACAAAGACACAGTCACACTGAGCTTTTCCTACAAATAACTACAATGTGTCTTTAATCTGTGTAAACAAACCAAAAAGTTACCAAATCGCAATTTTGAGAATCCTTCTTCAAACATGAAAACGTTCATCTCATTCAGGTGATTCATGTTGTCATTTTATATTTTTCCAACTCTTCATAATTAAAATAAAAAAGGTGAAATATTCAGCTTTTTCTGCAATATTTATTCTTTGGTCGCCAACTACTCCCACATACTTCACTAATTCCATCCCTTCAAACATCAAAACGTTCAGCATTCAGGACATTTCTGCAAAGCAATGAAAAGGTTCCTTTCGTCACTGTATACCAAGTTGGTGATTTAGTTGATACTATCCAGCATCAACCAATGTTAGCAAGTAGGGGTGTGTGATATTTATTGTCTACGATAATATCTTGTTGTTTTAACGATGTGCAAGCTCATGTTATCCAGTATTGGGTAGAGCCAAACGGAGTGTGTACCCCTAAGGACACATTGATGATATTTTTGGGTGAATTCATATATGCAATTAACGCTGACAACCTTTGATTGGAGAGGGCAGACGGAGTGTATCTGCAACAGCAACTCTGGCCATATAGCAAGTGCTAGCATCCACCATTGCCAAATTGCTTACATTTAACAAACATTTATATTTTGTCCTGACTAAGGCATTTTGGGTCGGCGTCTGCACTGAATGTGACTAGTTAGTGGCTTCTTGAGTGGTGACATCATGCTAGAATCTGGTGAAATCATCTCATTGTAGTTGTTCTTGGCCTACATTTTTTACAATCCTTCTTTGTCTTTGTTAGGTTTATTGGCGGGTGGCAACCAACATCATGGTGCTTTAAATACTGTACATCTACTGTGACTTTAAACTTCCTTTGATGTTTTCCTTCATTCTGTTTATTGACAATTCTACTTCTTCATTTTGTATTTTGGCGAGTGGCAACCAACATCAAGGTGCATTACTGCCATCCAATGTATGTTTCAATATCCTACTTCTTCTTCCCCATTAGGAACACCTAACCTCTTATAACACTTGATCTTTCATAGCTACTCCTTCGTTTGGGTTAGCGGCGGATGGTAACCTACTGCATTGAGTGTAAAACAGAGTTATCTAGGCTATATTAAACTATTTTGTCCAATCCTGTCTCCCTCATAATATAATGGAGCATTCTCCCTCCTTCAATGGTAAATACTATTTTCAAGCTCAGTTCTTCCACTGCATGCTTTGCAATTTCCCTCTTAGCACATTTATTGCAGTGGAGCATGTAATGCTACTCTATTTGCTAATAGTAAGGAAATTATCCTGTTGATTGTCTGTTTATTAAGTGAAGTGTATTATTGATATGTCCTATCCTCAAGAGAGTCAAGATGTTTTTTGGTGCTCCTTTTTGCTGTCCTTACTGTGCTCACTTCCAGCTGTACTGCATTAATGTGTTATCCATATCTCAGCTATGCTGCAATTCTTTCATCAACCAAATTGTGCCTACAGCTAGATAAAAATGACTTTAACATTAATGCTGAGCACAAATCTGTACATAAAACAACCATCCCGATTTGTAACTCTTCTACCCAATGTAATGCTGCCGCAATCTTTACTATCTCCACTGTGTAACTGACAAATGATTTTAGGTTCTCAGGTTCACTTAAAATGTCAAGTCTGGTATACAGAATCCAAAACCTGTTCTTCCTGTAATGGGATCTTTGGATCCATCTGTATATATTGGAACATATTTTCATATAATATACGCAATCTATCTTCCACCAAAACTGCTATATTTCCACAATCTTTATGTCCTTGCACATTTTCCAGAAAGCATAAATCAGTAGAAAATGAGGGGTTATGGCCAGGGTGGTGATTCTGACAAAGGTACCATGGGATATAACTTTTTTGACTCAATGATAGGTCTCTGGCTACTTTTATACTGCTCCAAGCAAAACACTCCCTCTTTCGCCCCTTTCACTCTCCCAACATTGAAGAAGCACCCTTCTTGTTGGACGTCCACCTTCAGAATGCCTTTGAAGATTTGTCCAGTAATTCATCATCTACTGTTTCCGCCTAAGATGCAAAGGCATTTCACAAACCCAAACCACCATCTACTGGATCAACTTCTTCTTTGTTCGGTTTATTGGCGGGTGGCCGCCAACGTGTTTTACCGCCATCTTCTTCCTTCTTACAGAGTCAGTCAAAGGCTGCAAGGCCATATTCAAACCACCTTAAAGGTACTTACCTCTGTCCCGTATTTCTCTGTAGTGCTACATTACACTGGCAGTGTGACATCACATTGCTTTGATGTTGGCCTTTACCTTACATCATCATACATTTTCAGCATTATTGAGCAAAGCACTGAACAAAAAAGAAAAAGCTTGGAACACAGTGAAGAATATACAATTCTCCCATCACTTAACAGGCCAGTTAAGCTCAAGATAACACCAACTAACCTGCAGTTGCTGTGTTTTAAAAAATGAGTTTAATGCTTAAAGGGCCCACTACGAGGGAGAAATTCTGCGATGCAGTCATTGAAGTTGAGGATGTCAAGTTTCCAATTCACAGGATCATTCTCTGTAACTGCAGCACCTTCCTCCAGTGAGTGATCACAAGCATTTTTTTTTTATATCCCTCACATAATAAGAGAATCATGAGTTTCCTGCGCTGTCCAGGGGTAATGGATATTGATTTTTCAAGAAAGAGACCTTTTAAATTGAGGACATTTTTTTTGACTGTCTAATACTGCTTTTCAAAAAAAATAACAGTATTATGCGGTAGGGGTAAAAAAACAGCAAAAAAAAAAAGTCAAAGTCAACCCACTGTAAACATACAGGTAAGAAAGGCCAACAAAACAGTATGCTACAAAGATTAGTATATTATATACGATCATTACATGAGTTACAACCATAGCAAATTTTTGTGGCCCAGATTCAGCCCACATCCATGAAGGAATTTGGGTGGTCCTAGCAATGGGCGATATGCAAGAAAATCGTATCCTGAATAATTTTTTTCATATCAGTCGATATTGATATATGTTGCGATATAAATCAAATCAGCGCAACTGCACTGAGGCGTACTTTTCAGCGCAGGTCAACAAGTGACTCTGCTCCTCTGCTGTATTCTGATCGCTCGCACTTAGAACTGATCTTTATAAAAACCTGCTGAATTCATGTTCCTGGATAAACTGGGTGTCGCTTCTGCTGCAACAATGTTAAAGTAAAAACACAATGTTGCATCATAATCTGCAGGAGAAAACTTCTCTTCTGTCTGCAAGAGTATGTGTGTGCGCTCATCACACAAACTGATAGTCACATGTATTTAGTCATTAATCAATGATGTTGGATCATTACTCCAGATCTTTCCAGTCACTACAACCCTGATGTCCTGTCTGTGTGTTGTGTTACATCTTGTTCCAAATTTATTTTACGCTATTTGGACCATATTCCCTATTCCATAAGTGTGCCTCTTTAGGCTCATATTTATTTTATTTGAGCCACAAGAAGAGCTCTATGATTGCCTGAAGGGGCCCACATCAATTAGCTATCTGGGTATGGACATGACTATTACGTATACAATCAATGCTTATAAATGCTATATTTACACAAAAAGCAGAAAAAAACGTTATTTTCATTTCAAGTGTCACTTATATAGTTATAGTTATACTTAGGTGAAAACCTCAGAGAGTCAACAAGACCATAAATGCACCCAGACTTGTATATAGAGTTAACATCCAGCAGGCTTGATTAGTGTTAAAGAATTGTGTTCACTGGAAAGGTTCATGGTTATTTTCAATATCTTTCACTGTTGTCTTCTTTTCACTTCATCCTTTCCACTTATGAAGTGCTAAAGTTATTTTGCACTTACACTTGTCAGTATGAAATGGTTAAATATCTATTTTTACTCATCTGCTTTGTCTCCACCCTGACCCTCAGATCTCTCTTTGAAAACTGGCCCACACAAAAGACTGTTGAATTACCCGTCATGTCTCCTAAGATCATGCAGCTAATCATTGAGTTTGCATATACCAACACCGTTTCTGTGACCGTGGACAACGTACAGGAATTAATGCTTGCAGCTGATTTGCTCAATGTTACAGGCATCATACAAATCTGCTCTGACTTCATGGCAGAGGAGCTTTGCCCAAACAACTGCATCGGCATCTGGCAGTTCACAAATGTCTGCTTCAGCTCTGAGCTGCAAGCCAAGGCCTTCAATTATATCACTGATTGCTTTGAGGAGGTTATTCCCTGTAAAGAGTTCCTGCAACTCACTGTGCAAGAGTTAGCCATAATCCTTGGTAGCAATGATCTCAACGTAAGGGTAGAGAGTACTTTGTTTGATGCCATCCTTCGCTGGATCGCCCACATACCTGAAAAACGCGAAGGACACATCACTGTGCTTTTGTCTAAGGTAAAATTATGTTCTGTCACCATATCTAGCCTAGATATACTCTACATCATTATTGATCCTGCTGCTTTAACATTGGCAATTTGTTTAATTTGGAAAATACCAAAAAAAAACTTGAACATTAACATACTCCAGTGTCCTCTTGTCCCTGTTTAGGTCCGTCTGGCTCTGACAAGCAAGGATTACATTATGTCCAATGTGATGTCCAACAAGCTGGTGAAGAAAACCTCTGAGTGCATGAAAATTGTCTCAAGTTACCTCAAGCTCATGACAAACAATACTCCATTGTCAGGCAGTGAGATCAGCAAATCAGTAGCCTATCATCGTCTGCCTAAAGCCATCCTGTTGGCCATTGGAGGCTGGAGCAAAGGCCATATAACTAGCCATGTTCAAGCGTACGATATCCGCGCTAACATATGGACCAAGATTTATAACAATATGAAGCGTCCTCGAACCAATCATGGTGCTGCCTTCCTCAATGGGTATGTCTACTGTGTTGGTGGCGCAAATGGAGGTTTTAGTGGACGTTTTGAGTATTTAAACAGTGTATGCAGGTTGGACTTGAGCAAACACATCTGGCAGGATGTGGCAAACATGCACTGTCGTCGCAGCAGTGTAACCGTAACAGTGCTGAACGGGGTCATATATGCCATTGGAGGCCGGGATGAACGTGGTCCACTCCAAAGTGCAGAGTGCTATTTCCCTAAAACCAACCAGTGGAAACGTATTGCAATCATGAATGAGCAGAGAAGTGAGGCCTCTTGCACAACACTCGATGGCAAGGTATGTGAATTGAGATAGGAATTAGAAATAACAGTCGTATGATCTTTTGCAGTTGTGTGGGTAAGTAAAAAAGAAAAAAATTGGTAGTGTCAGACTGAATGTCTTCTACAAACATGTGTTTATATATATTTCATATTACATTCCATATCACAATTTCACACAATTATTACTTGATGTTTAGCGACATGTCTGTGATAACAGGTAACATTGCAGGTGCTATAGGCCATCTAATTATTGGTCCAATACCTTTTTAGGTGTGATTGGTAGATTATTCGCTAGATGTTTCTGTTGGATATCAGATGTAATTCGCTAATTATCTGACAATGGTGACAGATTATTTTAATTAAATTGTATTTTTGTCTTTCCTAACCTAATTGGTTGAAAGAAAATAAATGCATCAGAGTTGAGAGGAGGAGGGCGGAAAGCTGGAGAGAAAAGAGAGACCAGTAAAAGTTCTGTAAGACTGGGTATTAAAATTACAATAGTGATACCAAATATGTAATTGTGTTATCAAAAATAGCACCAGTTATGATAGCACAATTCATTAAAGTAATAATGATAATAAGTAAGCAAAATTATTATAGCCGCATATTTCAGTTATTAATATTACTGTTACTGTGATTATTATCATGATGGAACTGATCACCAGTTAAAACATTGAAAATTTTGAGCTACCTAACATTGCTCTTTTTCTTTTCAGATTTACATTTGTGGTGGTTCACATGGGAACATTGCCCTGCAAACGGCTGAATATTACAATCCACAGACAGACCAGTGGACTATGATCAACCCCATGAACAACAGGCGCGGTGGAGTTGCAGTTATTGGATTTGAAAACCGAATCTATGCAGTAAGTACACAAAACACTGCTGACATCCACATAAGTGACCAGCTAAATGGCCAGCTAAACGAAATGATATTATCATGGTATAACATATGCTGTGTTCACTCAATATAACATGATGAGTCTCATGGCATAGTCTCATGGCCGTTAATTCAGTACAAATTGTTTAATACTTTAAATTTACAACTTACAATTCAGATATATTACTTAAAACAAATGCCAACCTCAGGGTGACGCTAGAGAAGAAAGCAGGGATCATCAAAGTCATGACCGGGAACACTGAATGTCATTGAATGCCAATATATTCACTAGATACAGTATTTCATTAGATAAACACTGCCATCCATTGAGCCATGGTGGATCCATCAGCCTTTTAAGACATATTAGCTGTTCTGTAGTTATAATTGAATTCTGATGGTAGAGGGACAAAAAGTGAATCTTTGTAAATTTGGAACTTCTAATGCAGCTGTTATTATTGAATCCAACTGCCATCTACTTACTATACTGTGTATACCATATGATTCTCTGTTTAAACCCATTTATATGACATAAAATTTCCTCCCGCAGTTTGGTGGCCTTGACGGCCAAATTCGTCTGAGAACTGGGGAAGTCTACAACCCCCGGTCCAACACCTGGCATGCTGTGTCCTCAATGCTGACACCCCGAAGCAACTTTTGCCTCGCAGAGATTGAAGGCCGGATCTTTGCTGTTGGGGGCAGAAGCGTCTTGTGCAATAACGCTAATGTTGAATACTATGACCCTAAAACTGATGAGTGGTTTGAGGCCATGGACGAAAGGTTTTCTCTCCGCGGGCAAGGCTGCTGTGTTATACATGGAATCCCCAACTTGGCCGACTATACTTCCCCTCGTTATGTGCCTTGGATTTTAGATATGCAGGTCATAAAGGAGGACCCAGAAGATAAATGTGAGCTAAGCTTCTAGCCCTAAAACCTGTCCAATAGTGTGTTAGTCACTCCTCTCATCTCTCCGCCATGCAAGCACAATCCATGATGGTAGTGTTGTGATTATACTACATTAAACATGGCACCATTAAATTATGTGCTTTTGGGCATTCAATAAATTTGGCTATCAGAAAAAATATTAAATATTAATATTATGGGTAACAATGAGTGCACTATAGAGGGTAGGGGGTGGGCGATATATCGAATAAACTTGATGACTGTGCTCAGAGTGAGTTGAAGATTACACACACATGCACACACAGGCCCTGGGACTCCGCCCCGAATCATTCAGCTACACAGTGAGATCAGAGCGCGTTAACCCTGTAAGACCCAAATATCGAAAAACCTAAAAAAAAAAATTTTTTACTTTTAGGATGTTGTTGTGGGAGGCCTCTTATGCAGAAATTAAAGAGTTTAAAAAATATATTTATGTATGTTTTTAGAGAAATGTTGTAATATTGCAACATTGGGCTTAGTTGGGAGCAGAATTTCTGTATTTGTACTCACGTTGTCTGAACAACAATTCAGAACAACTAAGGGTTCATTTGCAGGGTTGATTGCAAGGTAATTTACACAGTGTTTTAAGCCTAAATATCCGCTGATATCTTCTGACAAATCGCATTGAGGGACTGTCAAAAATGTTAACTTCCACTAGCTAAGCCACTTCCTGTGGACTTTTTTTTTTTTAGTACATCAGCGGCCACTTAAATTGTATCTATGTGATTCATTATTTTGTTTATTTTTTTGTCGCCGCTGCTACAATCTTTGCCATAGTATCTGAAAATAAAAAGCCTTTATCACAGTGAAACAAATTATGGTCAAATGCTGTGTCTGACATATTACTTATCTGCTTTCTGAGGCCGCAGATAGACCTAAGCATTATATTTGCAATAAACTGGACAGGGCTCTGTTAGCAAGTCTATGAGATCTGGCAGAGGTCCAGATACCTCCGGCAGTAATTAGACACTCTTCAAAGACAGTTTACTGAGACTTTTGATCAGGCTTCTCTACCACTTTAAAAATTACAGGGACAGTGTCTCTCAAGAATTTTAAATTCCTCCTTTTAGAAAAGATGTTTTGCTCCAAAATTGCAAAAATGTATTAATGTTTGGATAGTAGAGTATATACGTAAAAACTGAGGGGATTAGGGTAATATTGCAAGCTATTAGAGAATTTGTTAAGCTCCTGTGATTAATACAAACAAATACAACAAGATCAAATTTGTGTGGATTCTTGAAGTTACTGAAAAGCTAAGCATACCCTTCCTGATAAGACAGGAGGAACCAGAAACTGGAATGCTCCACTTAGTCTGAGGGGCTGGGGGGGCATTCAGGAACAGGAAACAGGAAATAAAGTCAATGTTCAAGGAAATCCCAAAGAGGGACATGGACCATTTCTAACACGGATGATAACAAATCCAGCAGAAGCTGTTTTATTCCCAGTGTGCACCTGCACATCACAACACTATGGCCATGTTTCATCAACTTTTTGAAGGCATCAGATCAGTTGTGACGTATTTAATGCATCTGCAGTTGTATATATTTATAGGAAGACTGATCCAAATTACTGTAATTGGCCTGGAAATGTTATATTTACTGAAATGACTGGACATAGTTTAGATAGATAGATGATAGATAGATGATAGATAGATAGATAGATAGATAGATAGAAACATGTTTAAATAAAGTTTCAGACGTAGAAAACAGGAATAGTGTGAAAAATGTATAGAACCTCTCCAGCGCTGGTCAGCTCAATCTCTAAAATGTTTTATTCCCAGGCTATAACTCAAGAATGAGAAAATATGACAAGATCAAATGGCCACAGAGCAGAGGAGCCTGAGCATTTGTCAGCTTGATCAGTAACAGAGTCAACTGATCACTATTGGTCAAAATGAAAATTAATAATTTTCTGCAACTATTTCAGTGACATTCAACAAGTCCACCTGTGCTCTGAAGTACTGCCATCAACTGAAACTTCTGAACTTAGGATTTGATTTTGAGGAGGATGACGAGAGGCTTTTTGAGTCCAGATCAAACTCCCCAGTCAAAACAACACCTCTCTCCCCGAATAATAATAAAAAAAAGCATATTATAGGAAACTACTGAAGTTAAACTGTGTTATGGAAACTGTCTCACCATTATATACATTCGCCAAAGAGAAGAAATGAATTTGATGGTTTTATGGCTGGGAGCAGTTTAGAAATTTAATACAGTACACTCTAGCCCAAAGGTCATCAGGCTTTTACAACTTCCCTTTTGTAAAAGTTTCTCTGTTAGGTGAGTCTTTAGAAACTCCTCATATCGTCTTTCACAGCTTCAAACACAGTAGCTGTATTACCATAGCCATGAAAGTTAATTTCACACTCCTCCCTTTCTCATTCCCAATGGCGTAGGACACAAGTTCAGTTTCAAACTAACCTCCAACTCACTTGCAAAACTGCATAAAAAAACAGAAATGTGAAATGTCATGCAGGGGAACCAGGTTCACAGGAGCGTATGTATCAGGGGAGCATCCAGGCAGGAAGCTCCACCTCAACCCTCGGGGCAAAGGGTTTGGTTCTTTGACCTAAGTTGTGTGACTATATATCGCTTTTTTCGATTCTGCTTCTTATCTACCCTAATTACAACAGTTAATAATGTCTGGATAACAAATTGACTTAAAATATCTTGAAAAGAGTGAAAAGAGCAAGGGTCGGACTTTTCCTGCTGTCCTCTCGTCTGTCCACCATGTGAGCGCAATTCATGATGGTAGATATTGCTCAGTTAGTGACCATCTGTTGAACACCTTTTTTCATGATGCATTATGGGTAACAATGAGTGCACTATAGAAGATACCAAAAAACTAAACATTCAGACACCACTTTAAAAAATATATACAATTTACAACCAATTCCCCTAACATCATCCATCTCTGCTTTATATTTTATAAATACACTTTTCACCCAAAAGTTGATATTTCCTCCTCCCCTGCTCCCCACAGAACAAAATAAAACATAACACATCATCAACTGTATCCTTCCTAAAAAAAAATTCTTACCTTGGAGTCTCTTTGCAGACGGACTTGTGTCCCTCTGTGATCTGACAGCGACCTCTTCACTACTGTGCGATGCCAAAAGTGATAATAATCACCAAATACCTAGAAAGACAAAGCAATCAGATCAGTTATTCCATATGGGCAAGTGTTAAAACAAAGAGTTTTTCAGTTTTCCTTTTTTCATAAATGTGCAGACTAATAAGTGGAATAATGTTTTTTTTTTTTTAAATTGTCATGGGGTT